TAAATTTTATTTAAATATTGAACTGTGGTATATCAGCTGTGAGCTACAAGAAGTTTTATGTAAAAGCTAGGGCTGAAACAATTTGCCCCCTCCATGTTATGTGTGTATTGCTATGATTGACATACAATCAGCTCTCTAATACATACACTTCAATAAAACTTTGTCGTCTTGGACCTGAATTGAACAGGAAAAAACTCTGAGATCTCTCCAAAAATTTGAATGAAAAAAAGGAAATGCTTATTAACTGATTTCTTGCTGGTCAGTATTTTGATTACTTAAAGGAAGCTCTAAAAACTGCACACTAAAGAGTTCTACTTTAATATCAGGTAGTTTTATGAAGTTAGAGTGATCTGCCCATAGATTAAGATTATGAAAAATGTTATTTTACAGTCAGTTAGATTATCTTTCATAGATTAAATTATTTTTAGCATTATTTAAAATAAAAAAATAGGAAATTAATTACTTTCATAATTTTTCCAATGTAAGTAAACAGCAATGATTTCTGCTTACAGATAGTCCATTGTCTTTGAAAATTTCTTGGGGAAATGAGGCACATACCATATGTTCTAAATGAATAAAAAAGGCTCATTATGCACATATTTAGATGAAATATGATAGATTTTTTTCTCTTCAAGGATTAATTTCTGCAAGTCACTAAGTTTTTAGAGTTTCCTTTATTTTATAGATATTCAATGAAATTATTTGAAGTATTAAATTTTGGTAAATTTTATGATATGAAAAGGTTATATGGATGAAAAAACAGGATGCGTGTATGACAATAGCGCTTAAATTTTTAATGTCTCTTAATTTTTCAGTGACATTAAAACAAGAATTTTCATCACCAAGAGACAAATTTCACATCCTAAGAGTTTTCTCCAATTGTCGGCGTATCGCTCATTTTTCCCACTTTGTCCTTTGTAAGTTACTTGTTAATATTTTCAATCTTCAAAAATATTGGACAATTACAATCTGTATCTGTATTGCCAGAGTATGGGGGCAACATGAAAATCATAATGAATATGTTCATACAGATTTTATTTCTAAGATATTGTCCCTCAAAGTTGATACTGTTAAAGAGGGAAAAACAGCGTCTTAAGCCGGTTGACCCCAGATCGACCCTGCGAAAGGGAATAACTTTTGTAAATGTGAAAGTCCTTTATGGTATATCATATAGATCTAAAACTGACTGAATTTTGATCAGCCAATTCATGAACATGATGAATGGATGTAAATAATGTTGGTCAATATATGAAAGAAAAAAAAAATTAAATTACTTAAGGAATCACTGTCTAGTTTTGAGAGTATGCCAGGGTATCAACAATAGTGGGAAACATGGGATAATTTGCATAACGGGCGAAGCCCGTTATGCTAAAATTATCCCAGGTGTCCCACTATTGTTGATGTCCCTGGCATACTCTCAAAACTAGACAGTGATTCCTTATATTTCCATTTCATTATAAAATAAAATTGTAGATTTAGACTTTTAAAATGTAGACATAGACTATATTCACAAGGACTTCCATGCCAATTTCAATAGTCCTCGCCCACTGACGTCAAACACATAGGGAGCCGCACGAGATTTACGTGCATATTTGGCATCCTTAGCGTCAGACACAGAGACAGATGCGCACGAGATTTGCATGCGTATTAGGCCTCATTAGCTCCTGACCTATCGACCTGCCTAATTTACATTCCGGCAGAATTATCAAGAAATAAACTCCAAAAACTTTCAAAGAGTTATCACAGAGAAAAAAATTAGAAATGGAAATATTTGTTTATATATACATTTGTGGTACAGTATCTCTCCCATTGAAGTTTATAAACTTGTTATTTATTTCTTAAATAAACTGAGCATACATGCAATACCAGTATAAAATTACTCATAAGATACATGTATACTTAAACCATGATAAAATCATATGTGTCCAATGCAGCATATGATAAATCATTAACATACAAGTACATGTGTATATATACTGTAATACATATATATTGCATTATTTTAAGGTCCTGTTCTGTGGATGCCCTAATTCAGTGTCTACCCATCACTCCATCTGAAATCACTTTTTCTGTGCATATTTCTCTCTCAAACTTAAACTACAGAGAGCCTGTGGATAGAGGATGAGGAGTGACCTTGGACTAATTTTCTAGGTCAAAGGTTAGTATCAAAATCTACTGTATTTCTTTATTTAAAATCGTAGTCCAGAGTATATTTCTCTGCTGGTGTAATCTAGCTTTTGTAGTAATATATTCTCAATGACATAATAAGGCTGAAAACATTATTTATTTTATGTTATTTTTTTCACTTATCATAAAGCATTTAATATTAAAGAGATACATTAAATGCTGAAATCATATGTATCATGGTCATGGAAAGTAATTATTGATATTGGTATATTAAAGGACATTTACTGATCTCTTAGATTTCTAAGTTATATTCAAGCATTATAATTCTGACATCATATAATAATTTTGTATGAATATTGCAGATCATAGGTGATGTGAAGAAAACCAGGAAACTGATCTTGAAAGAAGTACTTAATGACCCTTATGAATGGACTTAAATGTGAAAGACTGTTCCATTGTTTATCTAAGACATATGAATTTATTTAATATTTTGATATCATTGAAAAATTCAGTTACAGTTTTTGTACATCAAATGAATTATTAAACATATAAAATGGTAATGCTTTTTTCTTTTACATGTAATAAATTTTTTTGATAGATTTTAAAAGAATACCCATTATTTCACATTGCTACCTTTAGAAAAGTTAGGGAATCTTGAAGTTTCCCAGTAATTTCCACCAGATATGGGACTCTTCGATAATTCCACCAAGTTTCCGCCACACAGAAAGTGCTACACAAGTTCCAAATAGTTTCCTGAGTCAAGGAAACTTCAGGAATCATAAGGCTTCACGAGCTTCCATGTAGTTTCCCATAAAAGAGAACCTTAAGATTCCATCAAGTTTCCATTCCACGGAAACCACTACGCTCATATTCCATATGGTTTCCCGAGTCAAGGAAACTTTAGGAATCATGAGGTTTCCCGAGCTTCCATGTAGTTTCCCGTATAAGGAAACCTAAAGATTCCATCAAGTTTCCATTCCATGGAAACCACTACGCTCCGATTCCATATGGTTTCCTGAGTCAAGGAAACTTCAGGAATCGTGAGGTTTCCCGAGCTTCCATGTAGTTTCCCGTAAAAGGAAACCTAAAGATTCCACCAAGTTTCCATTCCATGGAAACCCCCTACGCTCCGATTCCATCAAGTTTCCTGATTCTGGAAACCAGTGGAATCTTCAGGTTTCCCATAACGGGAAACTACATGGATGTTCGGGAAACTTCAGGTTTACAGAGGTTTCCGTGGTACGGGATACCTTATGGAATCGGAGCGTAGGGGGTTTCCGTGTCACGGAAACTTGGCGGAATAACCTAGCATCCGCTACGGAAACCACTGGGAAACATGATGTAAACTTGAGGTTTCCATGTGGTTTCCATAAAGTTTCCCATGATGGGAAACCACTTTTTTCACCCAGTGATGTCAAAAATATTTAACACATAGCTTTTCTTCATTTTTTAAAAATTTCTTTTTCCCTGTTTAAATATGCATGCCAAACATGACGTCACATTTTTTAAAGCTTATAACGTTATGAGGAAAAAACAAAAGCATTTTAACCGCTGCAAAATCATTATCTGTGTTTCATCAATAAAAAAAATCTTCATTAGGGTTTTTTTAATCATTTTTTTTTTCAAATTAATGTTGAAAAGTCAATTTTGATAATTTTAACCTTAAGGGCCCTTTTTGCATGGGACAGCTCATATAATAAATCTAGGGGTGCCAGCTTGTAGTCCACTATTTGACTATCAGCCGAAAGACACGCGATCGAATAAGCAAACGACATTCAAATAATATTATAATTAAATAAATGCAACTAAAGAATGTTGATGAGCTGGAATCCCTGTTACAAAATTGAAAAAAAGAGCTTGTTTACTACTAGGCGTTAAGATTTTTTTTTTAAAAAAAAGAGCCAAACGGTTAATTTTCTTTGTAGGCAGTTCAGATATTAGAAGTGATTTACTGCCGTAAGAATTATTTCTGTGTTTGTAATGTCTGCAATACATTCTCCACAAATACACTGGGCTTTGTTAACATATATGGTCTTGTACCATGTTCATATGTACTGATTATCATCTGTTATATTAAAATTGCTCAAATGCAAGGGTAAACCACGGCTGTGAAAATTTTTCGACACTTCGATAATTAATTAAACCATTTTCCTACCTTTTCAATTTGTTAAGGACAATTTGATAGCTGGAGCAAATAATAATTTAATGTGATTATCTAACTGATAAAAAAAATCACAAGTAAATGACGGTGTATAATGTGAGATTATAATCCCATTTCAAGTTTACAACAATCATTTAACTTTATCGACTTTGAAAATATAAATCGTACAGTTTTACAGTATGTAATTGTTTGACGGGGAAATCATACATGTAGAATTTAGAGAATTCAAGCTTCTAAATCTATTTCATCCACACTGTACGTTGTAAAAATATAATTATTATACCTCATATAAATAATAATTAATTAAATAGAATCTGCAAATTTTTTTTATTTGTATTCTAATTAGTTCCCAATTTTTTATCTTTCTGTTGCATAGACATCTAGCTCAGTATTCAAATCTGGAAACCAATGGCGTTACATATCGGAAATGACGTCATTGTCAGATAGGGTATCAGGTAGAACAATTCTACCTTCGCTTGGCAATACAATCCTAGCATAGCTACACAAACCAGATTTTTAGCATGTGTTTGTTTTCATCACAGAGCAATATTCTTTGAATGATTAAAATTAAATGTACCATAGCCGACACCCATTTTTTATATATAATATAACATGTCAATGGTTTTATCTTGAAGAATCATCTTTGTCAACAAATGATCTAACAAGCATTTTTGTGCAGTGTATATGTTAAGATTAAATAAAATTGACAAACCTCGTTTTGAAGACAGCTTGCGTCTTCCAATGCATCCAGGAGTTTCTGAATAGCCTAAAAATAATAATATATTTTGCCATGGTTTGGATATTTTACAACAAAAATGAATTTCTATTTATTCCAAAATTTATAACCTACTTCTGCTTTAAATCTCCGTTTTTTGACGTCGTAAACATGCATCATAGTGACTTCTCGGAAAAGAGCAAGAAGAAAGAACACTTTTTTATGTGTATCTGGAATTGTTAGTCCCTGCAATATAAAAAAAGTTCGGAATAATACTTTAAGAATTTTTTATGGAAGGATTTTGAGGCTTTTGATCATAACATAAGTAATCTAAATAATTTCACGATGTAAATTACACTAAATATAAATCTCTATAATGGTTAACCAAGGGAAAAATAGG